TTTTTCATCCCCATTCACTCAGGAGTATACAATGGAGTCTACCAGAAGCTACATTCTGTCTGATATTAGAGATTGCACCAGAAGCAGATGAGAATGCAGCTGAGAAGGCAGACAAAAGAGATTTGTAAAAATAAAAAACAATGTCACTCTTTATAGTTTTTTTTAGTGATCTATAATTTAAAATGTTATTTATGCTAACATGTGATGGCTTTTTGTTATTTTAAAATAAATTAATAGGTCACTATTTTTAAAATTTCTGTTTTAATTTAAATACTGTAAATGACAGTAATACAGTAAATGACCTAGAGAAAGAAAAATACTTCAGGGTCCTTAATAATTTATAGATATGTAAAGAAATCAGGAGACCAAAAAGTTTGAGAATATTTGCTTTAAAGTGGTACTCTCCACTGTTTGCTAAAAGAGAGAAAGTTTCGACTCTGGCTTTGCTATATTCCTTATGTTGTTACTGACTGCCCATCAAAACGATGTCAGAACACTTAAATTTCTCTCAATCGCTTTTCTAGCTTATTTACCCCTAATCGCCATGCTTGGGTTTCCAAAGAAAGAGGAATGATATTGCTTACCTGTGCTCAATCGTTTCCTAGACGAAGAAATGGTCTGGACGGTTTCAGGTCTCTTTCTTTTCAGGAGGCTGTGTACAATGCGACAGCCCCCTCAGCAGGCAGCGGGGAATGCAAAAAGCATTGAGAATCACACTCCTCTCTGCTCATTCCTGTCAGCCCGTCAGAGGAAGAGGGAGGAACGAGGAAGAAAATTGGAGGGAGGAGACTTGGCACGTCTTGGACCCGCCTTTAACTGTGGGCTCTCTCTTAGGGCAATAGAGCTTGAAATAAATTGTCAGAGAATGTGGGTATTTCTTTAATGTACAACCATTATTTTAATGAAATAATTTCTTCTGTAAAAGTTGGAGTTCTGACTGCCCAAAGTTTGTCTCTCTTTCAGAAGTATATCCAAGCAACTTTAAAAAAAGCATCTGTCAATTGAAAGCATCTTTTTCACATTAATCTGTTTGAGACTTTCTTCTCATACTTCAGCACAAAACTTTCTTAAACAGTGCTGAATAATTAGCCCTATTAGGGTAATTCATGTAATGTAATTATAGCACCTAAAACATAACTTTTGAGAAGCAGAATGTAAATATCACAGTCTTGGAAATAATTAGTAGAAACAAAGCTTTTTAGACAATTTGTTTTCTTGAACATATGCTAAATCATACTACCTTGCTAGCAAGGTAATTAGCAAAGTGACTTTTGGTTTTTGCTTTTTTGCCAGTACAGAGACTATAAGGAAACAGAGGGGTTCTAGAGTTAGGAAAAAAAAATGCTTACATAGGCAGCTAGTTTTATTTTTTGTTTGTCGGTTTGGTTTTCAACAAGAGTGTTTTAATTTTATAAGATCATAAAAACATCATGCCCACAGTAGTGATTACAAAATAAGTCTATGGCAGGATGATGGGAGGTACTTGGCGTGGCGGTTATCAGAAGAAAAAAGTGCACATTTAAGAAGTGTATGATAAAAAAAGAGAGGAGTGTATGATAAGAATGCACATATGATTGACATTGAGATAACGAGTTTTCATCCTCCAACTGTAATGTCCAATTGGGCCAGTCAACATGAAAGTATGAAGTGGAGTCAAACAATGATCAGTAGCAGAGGACCAAACAAGTTAATTTTAAATGGCTTATTGCCAATTACTTTTCTCCAACTGTAACAATGTAGAATGCATAACAACCTATTTCTTAGTTTTGGGACACACATTTTTAAAAAATTTTTTATATTTTATAGAGTAACCCACATGTTCTACCTACTTCATAGGGTTGTTTGTGAAGATTAAATGAGATGATGATAGCCCTTTGAATATTTTAAACCACTGGAAAACTATAATCCTCCACACCCTCTCACTTATTTGTACTCATTTAGCTTATGCAATGGAGACAAGATTTTAAAAGTAAAATAAAATGTCCATAGTGTTCTCTTAATCTGATGTAGACATTTACGTATTAGGTAGAATAATTTGTTCCTGGAAATATTTTAAGAACTAGATAACTACCTGTTTAGAGATCATACACTGTGAAGGCTGGGAGAGGAATTAGATCAGTATTCTCCACACTTTGGGATTTAATGGACCATAATAATAACAACAATAATTATAATAATGAAGAATAGATAAATGCTGAGTGGATAACTTTATATTTTAAGTAAGGACATTAAATTTTATTAAGTTTAAGATTAGTTCATGAAAGGACACTTTTTTAAAAAAATATATATTTTATTGATTTTTTACAGAGAGGAAGGGAGAGGGAGAGAGTTAGAAACATCGATGAGAGAGAAACATCGATCAACTGCCTGCTGCACACCTCCTACTGGGGATGTGCCCGCAACTAAGGTACATGCCCTTGACCGGAATCGAACCTGGGACCCTTCAGTCCGTAGGCCGATGCTCTATCCACTGAGCCAAACTGGTCAGGGCTATGAAAGGACACTTTAACACCAAAAAACATTAGGAAGGACATAGTGTTAGAATAAATGGCAATTCTTTAAAGTAAATACATTGGCTTTATGGGATTTTCATTATTTTTTCCCTCACTTTACCACAGATGGGGAAAATTTCAACGTAGGTGGTTATCAGCTCTCAGACAATGATTGGGATCCTTTCAAGACTGTCAGTGACTGCACCACACTTATGTAGCCTAGTTTTACTGAGTGACTGATATTTCACAATATTAGCAAATAAAGTTAGACACATTGAGTATGTGTGTTCTAGGAACTTATTTAAAACAACTGGCTTTCCCACAGACAGCCAATAAATAAACATATACACGTAATACGGACAAGTCTGTATGACAACTACCATTTAAATAAGCCAAAGGGGGAAAACATTAAAATGTATGTGTTAAATATAATTTGCCAAGGTGTGTCAATTATTAACAAAAGTCGGGTCGGTATCCCCTCACAGAAGAGTATTTATTCAGGAAAAAGAAAGGTCACAATCCCAAACGCGCAGCCACGGCTCACCACGGAGCTTGTCGCCTGGATGTAGAAGAGGAGGTAGCCCTGGCGGGTTTGGCTCAGTGGATAGAGCCTCCGCCTGCGGACTGAAGGGTCCCAGGTTCGATTCCCACCAAGGGTATATGCCTGGATTGTGGGCTCTATCCCCAGTAGGGGGCGTGCAGAAGGCAGCCAATCAATGATTCTCTCTTATCATTGATGTTTCTGTCTCTCTCCCTCTTCCTTCCTCTCTGAAATCAATAAAGAAATATATTAAAAAAAAAAAAAAAAAAGAAGAAGAGGAGGTACTTGACCAAGGGGAAGAGGAAGTCACGGCGAGGGGCTGCCAGTGCCATGGAGTTCTGCGGTAAACAAACACAGAGCTCTTCCTGCAGGGCTTGTTGACACAGGAGGTGAGGACTCCTCCTGCAAGTCCTCTCTATGCCAGCCCAGGGTAAGGCGTGGGCCATAAATTTTGACAGGTGTAAGATCGGGCACCCGGAATTTATGGGGGGGAGGGTGTCGGTGACCTTTGTTTTACGAGCTGATATCCTTTTTTCTCCTTCCACATCAGCTAACTGGGCATGTTTAGAATGCCTATCTTTGAAATTGCAGGGCAAAGTCGCCACATTAAAGCACCCAACAGACTAAGCTTCAAGAATGTGGGTCATGCATGCTACAAAATATATTTTTTTGAAAGCTGTCAATTAAGTGAACTAAACTCGTTTACACACCAAGAAAGTGATTTCCGAAGATTCCGTGATTCTCGAAGTTCTGTTGCCCCAAAGAAAAAGGGGTCAAGGGATGAAGGCTCTGATCAAGAAGTCTTGCTCGCAGCCAGGGGAACTCAGTATAAACCCTTCCGTCACCCCAACCACCTGGAATCGGATGTGAACGTGGCGGTGGGTGTCCTGTTTTGTGCTCCTTTACTGCGACTCAGGCGGCTGGGCACAGTCTGGCCTGGCTCTGACAATTCTTCCATGTTCTTTCAGGGGAGAACAGTCTTAGATTTGTCTCTTCTTCTTCCTCACACTGGAAAGCGGGCAGAGATCTTTGTTTTATGGAGATTCCATGTCGAAGGGATGAGTGGGAGAGAAGCGGAGGGAAAAAGCCGCTTCCGGTGACTGAGCGCCCTGCCCGCAGGGCTCCAGAGGCTGCGGCTGCCGGTCACGTGACTGGCACGCGCTGACTGCCGGGAACGCCCGGCTCCCGCTGCCCACGGTGTCTGCGCACTCGCGCCGGGGCTCTGGTTCCCGCGGTCTGGCAGCTGCTGGCGGGAGAGCAGCGGGCGCGGAGAGGTCCTGGGCACCCGGTGGACTGGTTTGGGCGGGGCTGGCGGGATGGCGGCCTGTGCTTGTGGGAGGGCAGGGAGAGGGTGCGGGCCGCCCGGGGGGTCTCCGGCGGCGGCGGCCTCGCCAGGAGGGAGGGGAGAGGGGCGGGAAGTGAGGAAGCAGGAGGCCGAGAGGCGGCCTGAGGAGAAGAGGAGGCCAGGAAGACAGGGCGTGTGAGGCGGCCTTAGGCTGCACAGCTGGGCCCAGACCCAGCCTCGGCCCGGCCTGGATTCCGCCAAGGCCCTCCCTGTGTGGTGACAGGACATTTATTTTCTCCAGACAGAGAATTACTTAGTTGTAAACGTTTTCAGTTGACAAGCGTGCACGTGCAGTTACTCTGAGGGAGGAGAGAAGAAGTGGAAGAGGAAAGGGAGGAAAAAGGGGAAGGAGGAAGAGAACCACTGTCAGTGGACTTCTGGGAGACCTCAGACTCCCGGGTGGAGCCTGCGGGCCCGGTGGTATTTTCTGCGTGTTGCTGAGGTGGCGCCGAGGCCTTTTGACCGGAGGCTGGCAGGAAGCGGTGCCCGGTAGTATTTTCTGCGTGTTATTGTGGTGGCGCCGAGGCCTGTTAGCCGGAAGCTGGCAGGAAGCGGTGCCCCGGTGGTATTTTTTTTTTTTCCCCGGTGGGGTTTTTTGCGTGTTGCTGAGATGGCGCTGAGGGCGAGGCTGGCAGGAACCGGAAGCTGGCAGGAAGCGGGGCCCGGTGGTATTTTCTACGTGTTGCTGAGGTGGCACCGAGGCCTGTTGACCGGAAGCTGGCAGGAAGCGGGGCCCGGTGGTATTTTCTGCGTGTTGCTGAGGTGGCGCCAAGGCCTGTTAGCCGGAAGCTGGCAGGAAGCGGGGCCCGGTGGTATTTTCTGCGTGTTGCTGAGGTGGCGCCGAGGCCTGTTAGCCGGAAGCTGGCAGGAAGCGGGGCCCGGTGGTATTTTCTGCGTGTTGCTGAGGTGGCGCCGAGGCCTGTTAGCCGGAAGCTGGCAGGAAGCGGGGCCCGGTGGTATTTTCTGCGTGTTGCTGAGGTGGCGCCGAGGCCTGTTAGCCGGAAGCTGGCAGGAAGCGGGGCCCGGTGGTATTTTCTGCGTGTTGCTGAGGTGGCGCCGAGGCCTGTTAGCCGGAAGCTGGCAGGAAGCGGGGCCCGGTGGTATTTTCTGCGTGTTGCTGAGGTGGCGCCGAGGCCTGTTGGCTGGAAGCTGGCAGGAAGGCGGCAGCATTATAGGGAATTCACTGAACAGACATATTTATTACTAGTTGTTGCTGGCTTATATAAATGAAGATTATATGTGACTAGTCAAGCCGATTACAGTTATCCATGTCAGCATACTTTCTCGAAATCAAGCCAAATGCTGTAGATTGATAACTTGAGATGTAGGGACTATACCATTCTAGGCTTCAACAGTTTTTCTTTAGTCGACATGATCTTTCGGATTCATAGGGAAATTATCTTCAGAACTAGTAGAAAAGTCACTTAGAGGTAAAAGTTGATGCTCTATGGAAGCAGAAGAAGACCGTGGAAGTGACCTCAGGCTAGAAGAGATCTGGTCCAGTCCCAGTTTTACCTGGTGAGGTTGGTCAGCTGTCTTCGCCCCTGTTTTCATGTCTGTCAGAGATGAGATAGACTCAGATGAGCAATGATATCTGCTTGAACACTGAGACATTGTGAAGGTAGAAGCATCTTAGATGAATCCGGAAACGAGGCGGAAGTGCCAGACACCAGTTTGGCTGATTGTATACAGAGGGAGTCGACGAAAATCAGGGGAATGGTAGGTTAGCCCCAGGTGATGTAGGACTTTGGATGGAATTTGAACTTATTCTGGAGCAATGAGTATGCAAGGACAAGTTTTTGAGATAAGGGAATGCAGTAATTACCGTTTTGAAAGTTCAGGGAGTATGGTAATCAGTTTTGAAAGACTGCCCAAACAGCAGTTGGTAGGATGACTTAGAGAAAGGAGAGATTGTGAAGTTTAGGTAAGTGACTGGTAATGAGAGCCTAAATGAACAGTGGCAGTGGGTGGGAAGATTCAAGAGATCTGTGTGTGTAGCTTGGAGTTTGTACTTAAGTTTGGCGTTGCTCAAAATTTTGCAGCTCTTGCCTCCAGGTTATGATGGCAAATCACCTTGTAAAACCTGATACTAGAAATTGCAAGAGACCAAGAGAGTTGGAGGTAATCTCTATGCTCCCAGAGCCTTAATACTTCATTTTATATACTTCTCAAATATCTTCCATTAAGAAAGTTCTGTTGATAAATGGAATTTAAGTTTTCATATTCCCAGAGCTGGGATTGTCCCAGCAGGAACTATATTGACTCCAGCTGCTTTTTTACTAAGTTTATGGGAAAACCTCCAAGAATCTATCGGGATATTTCTTCGTGGTAATTTGTGTCTAGAGACACAAGTGGGTTCATATCTTTATGATATCTAGGACTTCAAATACTTATTTTGCTATAATAAGTAGGAGTACTGGAGTTGCTGATCTTTTAAAATTAGAACACTATTCTGCCTTTCTTCACTACTGTTTCCACCAATTGATGTTTGCATTTGGGACATTGTTATCTTGCAAAAATTTTCAAGCATTTGGCTATTGTCTAAATGGAAAGTTTGCTATATAGCTATGGAAACATCTACTGGTTCAAGGTACAGGAAACTTTTTCATCAGGGGGTTAATAACATATTCAAAAAAGTAAAAATAAAATTTAGTATATTGAACCAGGTGCTTGTTGGGACTAAAAGTTTCCTTGGTAATAAAATTTCAAACTAATTAGCATTTAATTTCAAATATAATTATCAAATGACAATAGCATATAGTTTCTAGCATGTTTCCTTTTTTTATGAAAGGTGTTTTATTTGCTTTAAAAAATAGAATGTATATATCCTAAGGATCCTGTTAACTGTTTACCTATTTTCTTTTACTTTCTTGTATTAGCCTCAAATGCCAGATAGTCCACAACTGTCCTCTCTTGGAAAATCAGATTCCTCTTTCTCTGAAAGCTCTGGACTATTTGATAAAGATGAATCCCTGGAGAAAGATTTGAATGGTGTTGTATAAAATGCTTATATTTCTATATACTTATTTTTATAATACAGAAGGTTTGCTATATTTCATAACTCAGTGTTTTTTTTAAATAGATATGAGCAAGGAAATTAATCTAATGTTGTCTACATATGCAAAGATTTTAAGGTAAGTACTTATATTTTTGAGTCTTTTTTTTTATATATATATATATATTTTATTGATTTTTTTTTTTTTACAGAGAAGAAGGGAGAGGGATAGAGAGTTAGAAACATCGATGAGAGAGAAACATCGATCAGCTGCCTCCTGCACACCTCCTACTGGGGATGTGCCCGCAACCAAGGTACATGCCCTTGACGGGAATTGAACCTGGGACCCTTCAGTCTGCAGGCCGATGCTCTATCCACTGAGCCAAACCGGTTAGGGCTATTTTTGAGTCTTGATCTTAGAAGTTTTCTTCAGGAAATTCCATATGGGAACTTTATGTTCAGTGACTGCAGAACCTATCCAGTTATTATAATTTTGGAATTTTTAAATTCGACCTCAATTTCTTATAATAATTTAGTTTGTTATTTTCAAAGAATAACCCCAACTTTTTTGTTGTCGTTAGTTCTCACCCAGGGGTATTTTTTCCGTTGATTTTTAGAGAGAATGGAAGAGAGGGAGAGAGGGGAGAGAAATAAGTGAGAAAAAAGAAACATTGATGTGAGAGAGATACATGGATTGGTTGCTTCCCGCATACGCCCTGACAGGCTGGGGATCTAACCTGCAACCCAGGTACGTGCACTGACCAGGAATCAAACCCTGAGACCATTCAGTGCATGGGCTGACACTCTAACCACTGAGGACACTGGCAGGAGCCTAACTTTTTCACTAAGTATCCTGTTTTGCTATTACCACTACGAATACTAGGCTGGATATATTTTGGTTTCTAATTAAATGATATAACATTTAAAATTTTATGATAAAACCTCTTTGAGAAAACTACCATTTGGTGAAATTAATGATAAAAATGGAGTGATATTAAAGATAAATATATTTATGAAGTATTTAAATATCCATATGTATTTGAAGGATGAATTTTAATATTTTATTGATCTGAGATTATCATGTTTTATAAGGTATTTTTTTATTTATGTATTTATTCATTTTTAAAAGATTTTTTAGAAAGCGAGGAAAGGAGAGGGAGAGAGAGAGAGGGGAATGTCTATGTGAGAGCAAAACATCGATCAACTGCCTCCTGTATGACTCCTACCAGGGATCAAGCCCGAAACCCTGGGCATGTGCCCTGACTGGGAATAGAACTGGCAACCCTTCACTGCATGGGATGGTGCCCAACCAACTGAGCCACACCAGCCAGGGCTGTAAGGTGTTTTTTTAAAAACTACTGGACAGTCATTGTATTTAAATAATGGTTGTGTGGCTGTTAAAATAATGTGTAATCATGTACCATATGTACCAACAATAGATCATAAGTACGACAATGGTCCCATAAAATTCTAATGGAGCAGAATTTCCTGTAAGAAATGAAAGGATATGTGGCTCAGGAGGGATTATTTTTCCTCAGATGGGCCCAGTATCTGTGGGGCTTGGCAATAGATTCCCTGTCACTGACAGAACCTCAATTAAAAAAAATCATTCAATCATTTTTTATTGATTAATTATGTGGAGAGAGATTGAGAGAGAGAGAGAGAGAGAGAGAGAGAGAGAGCGCAAGAAGAGAGAGGAGAGAAACATCGATTTGCTGTTCCACTTAGTTATGTATTCATTGGTGATTCTTGTATGTGCCCTGACTGGGGATCAAACCCACAACCTTGGTGTATGATCTAACCAGCTGAGCTACCAGGCCAGGGCCATGGAACCTCAATTTTGAGTGCACAGATTACATCCCAATCAGTCAGGCACTGGCCTGATTCAGCACAGAGGAGCCTGTTCCCCCTGTTCCAGCGCTACATATTCAGAGGGTGCTATAGTCCTCCCAGATGTAGGTTGATAGTCTTCAGAGTACTTTGCTATAAATTCTTTGTTGGAAACCTAAGGTCCTGTAAAATAACACAGTTCTGTGGGAGCCATCTTAAATATTAAGTGCCACTGTCACTTTAGTGAAAGTTTTCTGTGGCAGTATGGAGGCAGCCTATCCCTGTACTTTGGGAATATTTTCAGGTTATAATGATGTAAACATAGATAAACTTTGTCTTCCATCAATTCAATGCCAAAGAGAGTCCTTTATGTCAGAAGAAATCAATGGAACTAAAAATATTGAGTCCTCAGTTCTATATCCTCTCCATATTAAACATGCTCTTTTAAAAAGAGTATCACAAAGTTCCTTAATATGACCACTACTCCAACATGCAGTTGCCATGACTATCCCCTGTGCTCCTGTATCATTCCATCTCGATTTTTTATTCCTGCTGATCCCCAGGCCACCTTTCAGTCCCTCCTGGTAGTCACTATTACGGTGATTTACACCTTGCCAAGCCAGTTTCTCCTTAATAATTTCAGTCAATCCAGCCCACATTCCTGTTCATGGAGTAGCACTGGTAGCTTCCTTGCTCTGTTTCTGATCAGTAGTGGGGAGGGCTTGTGGGACAGTGTTTATAAAGCCTATAGTAGTGAATGCCCTAGGCCTCACATTCACTCACCACCACGCACGAGAGCAACTTTCAGTTCTGTAAACTCCGTTCATGGTAAGTGCTCTATACAGGTGTACCATTTTAAAATATTTTATATGGTATATTTACCTTTTTAATGTTTAGATAAATGCTTACCTTTGTGTTACAATTCCCTATAGTATTCAGTACAGTAATATGCTGTACAGGCTTGTAGAGTAGGAGCAATAGAATATACTGCATAGCCTAGGTGTGTACTAGGCCATCTATTGTCTGGGTTTGTATAAGTGTACTCTGTAATGTTCACACATGATCAAATCACCTGAAGACACATTTCTGCAAACATATCCCTGTCGTTAAGTGAAGCATGACTGCATATAGTTTGATATTAGAATTATAATGTATAAGGTACACATTCTGCTGTGTCAGGAGAATTTTGAGTAGTTAAGAATATTTGTGAGACTAATGTAACTTGTATCAAAGTGTTTGTAAATTACTGAAGCTTTCTGATGTTCAAAGCTATTTAAATGAAATAGCTAAAAAATATAGCATAAAAGAGAACATTACTATGATAGTGTTTTTGATGTTATAACTATTTAGTCTAACATTAACCTTTTTTCCCCATTAGTGAGAGAGCAGCAGTAGATGCTTCTTATATCGACGAGATAGAAGGACTCTTCAAAGAAGCCAATACTATTGAAAACTTTCTAGTACAAAAAAGAGAGCTCCTGAGACAGAGATTTACAGTTATTGCAAATACACTACACAGTTAAAAGTTGTGTACTTAAAATAAGCTGATAATTTAAACCCATTATTGTTGTAAGGAAAGAATGACATTTATGCTCTGAAAGCTCTAGAAAATGTATACCTTAAACATAGAAGGGGAAACACCTTGAATTTCTTTTCTAGACTTAAAGGGAGCTTTAAACTGGATATTAATACCTTTTCTTTTGAGGGTCAACTCTTTGGTGTAGTTTATAAAAGTGTAAATTATTTAAATTATTATTGATTCTTTTTTTTTAAAACTCCTAGTCTTCAACTTCTAAAAGAGGATGCAATGAGTTAATTTGATAATGTTTAACAATATTGTACTTTTTTGGGGAATATTTTATTTAAGTAGAAGATAGCATTGGAGATAGTTTTAAAATGTTTTTCATGGTTAGTATTATAAAAAAATTAAAACCTAAATGTGATTTGTTCAGTTTCTCAATATGTAGAAAACTATATGTGCTCTTACTATTTAATATAATCATTTGATTATTTCACTATTAGTTATTATACATGATTAATAAAAGTATTTTGTTTAAAATTATTTTCTTGTGCTAAAATAAAAACCAGAAATAACCAGACCTTATATGAGTTGGCTTTTTAAAAAAAATATACTTTATTGGTTTTTTACAGAGAGGAAGGGAGAGGGATAGAGAGTTAGAAACATCAATCAGCTGCCTCCTGCACACTCCCTACTGGGGATGTGCCCGCAACCAAGGTACATGCCCTTGACAGGAATCGAACCTCGGACCCTTGAGTCCGCAGGCTGACACTCTATCCACTGAGCCAAACCGGTTAGGGCGAGTTGGCTTTTTTTATACAACCATACTGATGAATTGTACTCAGTAGAAGCATTAGCAGTTGTGTGGTATGGGATAAAATTAGTGATCCAAATGTAAAGAGATTGGGTAAACAACAAGGTGACTGTTGAGTCATTTCAATCCTATTATAATTCAGAAATTGAATTTGGACTAGCAGATCTCTAATACTTATCTAGCTAAAAAAATTTCTCCCTTTATTGGAAGGTACTGCTATGATTTTATTACAAATTCCTAATATGTTATATAATTATATGTCATGACTATATTAATCAGATTTTTAAAAATCATAGCATACATTTTAAAAACATAGATAATTTAATCTATTGTATATATATTTTGCTGATATAAACAATCACAAATTTGGACATATTTATAAACAATACCACAAGGAACTTGATATTTTTTAGGTGGTTAGCAGGTTTACCTTGCTGCCTTTTAAATGTTAAAATAAAATCTCATTTCATGAAATGACTATTTGAAGGTATATACTTACCATATAGCATAAATACTCATACAAGGAAGGATTAAAAACAGTAAGAACATTTTCTAAAAATATTGTTTCTTAGGAAGTGGAAAAATTATTAGGTTTCTAATGGAGGTCAATGAAGTAAGTAATAGAAATGGGATTTTTAAATATTAAATGCAGCCAGAAGACTATATTTGAATTGATATGCCTTATCACCTGGATTTTGAGTTATTCTGTTACCTTATAGAGTTCTTGAATGTTCTAAATACAAAGATGACTATACTGGCCCATCATTAGAAGTCTTGAGTTATTTCTTTCCTAAGCATTTATTATTAATGTGAAAGCCAAGGCTAACAGAATGTTTCAGAACAGATTTCATAATATACTTGTTATATCTTGACGGTGTCACCATTGTTCAGCATCTGATTCTTCCCTGTGCAGGTTCAGATTATTGATTTGATTATTTGGTATGATTAAGACTGAAACTGTAAGGACACATATGGAATACCCTAATAAAGAAAAAAAAATTAAAAAAAAATAAAACTGGGGAAAAAAAAGACTGAACTGGTTTTTAGTGAAAAAATGTGTTTACTGGTCAGAACAAAAGGCAAAAGTTCCTGAATGCCTAATTAAGGCTTATTTTTTTCATCAAATTTTGATGCCTTTGGTACCATCCACATAAACAAGAATAATTATCTCACCTCTGGAGATATGCTATTGTAGGCATACCATTGCCCTTTAATTTACACTTCTAATATTTCAATAAAATTTTGCAAGTTTATACTTTTCACTGATTATAAGCCAAAATATATATTGAATATCTTTGTGCATCATATTGTGCTAGGCACTGTGGGAAATACAGAATAGTTTAAGATATTTTTTTTCTCCCTTCTGACAATTTTAACCACTCCTTTCTTGAAATACACTTACATACCTTTGCTGGGAAAACATGATATGTAAATGCTAAAAGTATCTCTGTGGCAGTGGTAGTAACTCCTAGTGGGAGCAAGAGGGTCAGAGGGGTAGGTTTTGAAATGGGTTTTTGTAAAGGAAAAGAAGGAGGATATTTCAGGCAGGGAAAAGTTTGTTCAAAGGCCCAGAAGAACAAAAATGTGGTATATTTATTTTATTGGACTGAGAATTTACAAAGGGGAATAAAGTAGAATAAACTGCTAGAGAGTAGGGATTAAATTTTGTTTCTTGGTATCCTCAATTTGTAGCACAGTATTTGATACATTGGTGCTCAAAAATGTTTGTCAAATTAACAGAATTATGTATGGTTGTAACTTTTTAAAAGGACATACCTTCACAGAGCTTTATTTATACTAGATCATGAGAAAATGCTTTGTAAATTAAATGAATACAAAAGAAAAGGAAGAATGAAATGCTAGAAAGGCAGAGAGACAAAGGATTAAAGGTAGGTTGTGGCCAGATTGTAGAGTCCCTTGTTGACAGATTACATTTGGACTTTATTCTGTAAGGAAAGAGGAGATTTGAATCTTTCAGAGGAGAGGAGTGGCTTAATGAAATCCATTCCTGGATCAACTGCTTAATTATAGTTCGAGGACAGATTTGAAAAGGAGAGTTAGGGAGGGAGACCAGTATTTCAAACAGCTGCTCAGTATAGATAGGTTGTTGGGATACTTGTCTTGGAATTGAGCGTAAGAGAGATTGCCTGTGTTTTGAAGCCTTGCCTCTGTCCCCTCCCCCCAACTTTCCCTCCTATTCTGTCAGTGAGCCAGGGACAGTCCAGGAAGTGTATTTTGCCACACTGCTAATGAGTGAGAGGACTTGGAAACCACAGGATCTGCTGCTACTTAACAATATAAAAATATTTTTTCAACTCTTTCTCCGTTTCGTCAGTAATCTTCCATTGCAGTGGGTTTCAGATCTGTGATAGTACATTGGAACCCAGGTAGGAGATTTACCACCCCCTCCTCTTCCTTCCAGCAGGAATGTAGGATTCTGTGCCTTTTCTGAAGAATACTGGCAGCTTCTAAATTTTTCCATTCTTTTTGGAGCAGATACAGGCAGCAAGTGCAGAGCTGGGAGTTAAGACAGAGTCAGGATTTGTTTACTTGTCAGGGAAACAGCCTTTCCATTTGTATGTTTTATATGACATATAGTGACAGGATTCAGGGTTTCAGGATTCTCTTGAATCTGTAATAGGAAGACTATTCACTATTTAGACCGTTCTCAATAGAAAATCACTGCTATATCCTCTAATGTAAATGTTTGGTTCTTTTATTTGCATTCTGGGGAATCCCTTAAAACCTTTGTTATTGTTTTTCTAGCTTTCTATTATAGCTACTATTGTTACATGCTTTTATTTCTTGAAATTGGCTGATATGGAGCTATGAGAAATATTACTGATGTGCACTATACATTCTAAAATTATTTAATTCAATAATTCAATGCAAGGCAATGTGTTAGGTGCAGGGGTGAAGGCAAAACCAAGACCCTATACTGGGGTGGGCAAACATGGCACGCCAGTAACTTTTGCTGGCACGCGAAACCCTCTATTATAATCTTCCATTTACAATTTTTGTGAACATTTGAATGACTTAAATGTTAAATTACAAGGAACTGGCAAGACACTTGATGTTATGTTTGGTTACATAAAGGCTTTTGAAAAGAAAACTGGAAGTCTTTAAGAGGGATGTGGATGGTGAGAGATTTAGATATTTCCCAAACCTCCAGAGGCACATCAAAGACCTCCCAAAAGATAACAGAACAGACTGTCAAAGCCTTCAAAAGCTGTTTTTAAACATCATCGAGTCAACTATTGAGCAGTTCTTCTCAAGATTTGTGAAATTCAGAGAACTGGAAGAGACAGCAAAATTCATGAGGTTTCCAGACAGCATGAAACTGGAGGAACTAAACTTACAAATGTTTTCATGGATAGACATGGCTGACTTTGAAATGCAGTTGATTGAATTTCAGAGTAGCTCAATTTGGAAGCAGAAATTTATTGACCTTAGAGTTGACTTGGAAAACATTGAAAAAAAGCGATTAGAGACAGGAATACCAGAGAGAAGTGTCGAAAACGAACTATTGAGGACTTGGAATGCCATTCCAGAAAATTTTTTCTGTTTAAAAAACTTTGCAACAGCGTTACTCTCCATGTTTTCTTCCACATACGCTTGTGAATCTTTGTTCTCAGTGATGAATTTTGTTAAGTCTCGTAATAGGAGTAGCCCGACGGATGAAAGTAGTAGCTCGTACATATCTCTGAAGGTCACGAAATATAAACCTGATATAAAATCTCTGTCATCAGTGATGCAGCAGCAAAAGTCCCACTGACAGTATCAAACAGAGTCAGAAAGTTTTCTGTCGGACTATCAGTGTACATGTATACATTAAAAAATAAATGTATTTTTCATCATATACTGTGTTTTTGTCGCTCGAATGAATTTTATTATTTCTTCAAGGTTCTTCACATATGTACACCTTAAGAGATATCAAGTAGGCGTAACATGTTCTCAAAAAATTAGGGTTGGCACGCAGAAGAATTTTGAGTCAGCGATTTTGCTGGTTTTGGCATGCACTCACAAAAAGGTTGCCCACCCCTGCCCTATACTCAAGGAGTACTGGTAGTAGAGGTTATAAAGTATGTTCATCTTTATTGCACAGAACAGGATACGATAGGTGCCATAAGAGCTAAAACAGATGGGATGTGAGGTCAGACTAAGGAGAATCAGTTCTTGCTATAGGAAATAAGAATGTTGTGTTTATAAAACAGGTGACATGGGCACTGGATCATGAAGGATGAGTAAGGCAAGTGAATTTCACCTGAAGGATATGGGAAATACCCTAGGTGAAGAGAAGGGTACAGTTATGATGAGAAGAGAGTGGGGAATGGTCCAGATTGGCTGGGGTGGAAGGCATTAGTGAGAGGCAGAACTGGACAGGTAGGTTGCTGTGAGACTATACAGTGCCTTCATCACAGTTTAGACTTTACTTGGTAGAGGAGTCATTTGTGAAAGTTTTATGGAGCAGTATGTGTTATAATAAAATCTAGTTCGGAAGATTAATTTAAGTAGCAGTGCTTCCCAACATCACAGCACACAGAAAATGATAAAATTTTCCTCAAACTAGCGTAAATTGGATGGGAACTGCTTAGAGCAGGAGGCTACTGGCCTGGGGACTTGGGCCATCCCAATGGCTAAAGCAGCAGTTCTCAACCTGTGGGTCGCGACCCCTTTGGCAGCTGAACGATCCTTTCACAGGGGTCGCCTAAGACCATCCTGCATATCAGATATTTACATTATGATTCATGACAGCAACATTACAGTTATGAAGTAGCAATAAAAATAATTTTGTGGTTGGGTCACAACATGAGGAACTGTATTTAAAGGGCCAGAAGGTTGAGAACCACTGGTCTAAAGGGATCAAAAGGCCCACACTAGGAAGCTCTGGTTTAGAAGATAGCTTCCTTATCTAGTTTCTCCTTTCAAGTAGGAGGCTGTGATAATATCCACCTAACAGGTGTGAGGGCCTAAATTAGGACAGTAGAGAAAGGAAGTGACTGATAGGCAAGAAGAGTTGAAGCATCAGTGCTGATGAAGACAGGTTCAAGCCAGAAGAAAAATGTGTGAGGTTGCCCATGATGGGTGGACTGGTAAGAATTTTTGTGAAAGATTTGCTTCATGCACCTTGCAAACTTCTGAACCCTAGTAATTTATACTGACTACCCTATATCATCCCCTTAGCATCCTCTTTTTAGCCCTATGTGGTTATAGTCAGCAGAATTTAACCACTTAGTGAATGTGAAAAGGAATCCAAGGCCCACAGAGAGTTTGCAGCTAGGTGATTTAGCAGATGGGAAATTGATTTGGTAGGAGGAAAGTGAAGAATTCTCTTTTGACATGTTGGGCCGCTTGCAAACAGTAATTGGTAAAATTAAGGGTCTAGATGAGACTTCCAAGGAAGACTGGTGAGATTAAAGAGTAAAGATCCAAGATCAGACCTTAGGAATACATTAATGAGGTGATAAGGGGAAGAGGAGCTAATGAAGGGAATTAACATTTGAAAATTAGGACTGTCATTATATTTGGTTATGATTATAGACATGAATGGGAGGTATTATTTTCCATTTATCCCCATTATCCTTGTTTAGCATTAAAAATCCTATGGTTCAGAGTGATGAGTAACTTGTCCAAAGTGTCAGCTAGTGGTAATAAAGCTGGCATAAAGCAAACAAGAGGAAACAGGAATGTTTGAAAAGTGCAATGTCTGGGAAGGCAACAGTTTAGAAAGGGGTTCATGGAGGTGTTGACCACAATCGCAAGTACCATAGCAAGTTTGAAGAGCATGCTATAGAGTACAGAACATATAGACATTTAATATTTTCTAAAACATAAAATGTTTTAAATTCATGAATCTCTATTCAGACAAATGCCCTATCAGGGTATTCAATTTAATTCTACTTAAATACTAGGAGTAAAATACCTGACCTCAGGGAATTTATTTTAATCTAGGAGGAGAATAAGACAAGTATACATATATTAATAAAAATAGTAAGACAAATACTTGAGGGTTTCTTCTAATTTTTCAAAGCATCCTCTTTATACCTCTAATTTTGTGGTTCTCAAAACCACAGAAATTATTTCGCTTACGCTACCCCAGAAATTCTGATTTGTTAGGTCCAAAGTGGAGTCCATGAATCTGCATGTTAGCCATAGAACCAGATATTTCTGTTTCAAATAGTCCTCAGATTATACTTTGAGAAATAGTGTTCAAACAAAACACTGATTACAGTGTAAATGACCTCTTTGTATGTCTGTTTACTAGGTGGTGAGTTCCTTTACATCAGGGCTCTAGTACTTTTTTATCTCTCAGCAGTGCCCAAGACTTTGTTGATTGATCATTAAAAGTTACATGAATAGCCCTGGTCAGGTTGGCTTAGTTGGTTGGAACATTGTCCTGTACACCAAAGATTGTGGGTTTGATTCCCAGTCAGGGCACATACCTGGGTTGTGGGTTCCATCCCTGGTCGGGGCAACTGATGTTTCTCTCTCTCTTTCCCTCCTTTCCTTCCTCTCTCTCTAAAAATCAATGAAACATCCTGGGGCAAGGCTTAAAAAAAAAGCTACATGAATAATAGCTAACTTTTTTTTTAATATTTACAATTTCTAAAACTTTAGATAACCTAATTCATTTATTATTTGTATCCTTAGGAGCAATAAGAATTATTATTATTCCCATCTTAGAAAGGAGGGAATAGCACAGAGAGGTTAATTATCTAGCTCAAGGCTATTTATTTGGAAAATGATAGGCTAAGATTTGAACCCAAGCATTCTGGAGCCAGGCAGAGGCTGGGTCCACACTCAAGTATTAAAATATGCTGCCTTTTTTTTTAAGTGGTATTTAAAAATAGGCTTTGAGCAATAGATGAAATTTCCTTAGGGATAGATTATCGGGAAGGGCATTCAGGGTAAAAGTAAATTTTATTTTGGAAATCAGGAACCAGTCGGGTTTAACTGAATTGTTACATATGGCAAAGCAGGTTTCATGTGCTTTAAACTAATTTTTAAAAATTCTTTATTGATTAAAGTATTACATATGTCTCCTTTTCCCCCCACTGACCTTTCCCCAGCCACTCCCACCCCCCAGCACATGTCCTCACCCCCCTAGGTCTGTGTCCATTGGTTATGCTTATATGCATGCATACAAATCCTTTGGTTGATCTCTTACCCGGTCCCCTCAGCTTCCCCTGCCTTCCCTCTGAGATTTGACTGTCTGTTTGATGCTTCTCTGTCTCTGGATCTATTTTTGTTCATCAGTTTATGTTGTTCATTATATTCCACAAATGAGTGAGACCATGTGATATTTATCTTTCTTCTACTGGCTTATTTCGCTTAGCATAGTGCTCTCTAGGTCCATCCATGCTGATGCAAATGGTAAGAGTTCCTTCTTTTTTTCAGCAGTATAGTATTCCATTGTGTAGATGTACCACTGTTTTTAATCCACTCATCTGCTGATGGGCACTTAGGCTGTTTCCAAATCTTAGCTAGTGTAAATTGTGCTGCTATGAACATAGGGGTACATATATCCTTTCTGATAGGTGTTTCTGTAAACTAAATTTTTGAACTATTTGAAAGAAATGGGATAATAGATATAATACTGCAAAAGAGTTTGCTAAAAGAATGCAAATCTCACTTCAGAGGAATAGTGTCTCTATGTATATTCTAGTTTAGATTTTTATATTACTATTTCAGTTTCATGAAATAAAATAAAGGACTGTGTTTTTAAAGTACCTAGTTAGTTATATATTTGGCCACCCCTCTGTGTGAGGCAATGCTGCCTTGTGAACACTAAGTAAATATGAAATAATAGGAACAATTTTCAGCTCTTTGTTATATATTAATGATTTTTTCTTGTGGTTTATGAACTTCAGGTAATTTTAGACCAGGTATCACTGCACAGTTTGGTTTATGACACCCTTCTCCTAGAAAATGCCATGTACATTTATGTGTACATTAAAATAGAAGAAATTAAATTGTAGATCCTACTAAATGCTCCATAAATCCCTATGAATTTTTTGGGATCGCATTCTGATGTATATAAAGTACTGAGGTCAATGTAATTATGATAATATTGAATAGTGGTCATTTTTATCATTATAATGAGGTTGCTATTAGTCCATCTTGGGTTAGATTCCACCTTGTGAAAAGATGAGCATTGTTCAACTATGAGAAATGATAATAATTAAAGTCCTGAGTTAATTCTCAAGCAGATTTGTACTGCAAGAATACAAAAAAGATTGTCAAAAAATGGTGAATCAAAGAATTCAACTGAGAATGAGGAAGGAGAGGGAGGGATTTGGAGACTATATTTGGTGTTGGTTTTACATTTCCCTGACCAGGAGGGAGAAATAGGCATGTTTATAGAAGATTGGCAAATATTTGTTGTGCTTTTGATGTTCTCTTCACAGTTTTGAAGAAGTACATGGACAACAGTCATCAGACAAAAGCTGTTTCCTGTAAGCAGGAGGGTCTTCCCTGTATTGCGCCCCTAATAGCCACGGTGGAGGAGACTCCACAGACCATCTCCGCCCAAGTCCAAGGACATTTCCCCAAGTGGCTCAATGGCTCTCTACTTCGAATTGGACCTGGGAAGTTTGAGTTTGGGAAGGACAAGTAAGCCTTGATTTTTGGAAGAGTTTGGATTTCTTAGCATGAACTTGTTTTGTGGAATATGCATTAATATCTGCTTCCTCTCTGAGGCTAACATTGCCATGCAATCTCTTTGGCTCCAGAAGAGGAAACTAGCCTATAGGAAAAGAAATGGAGACTTACTTCTGTTTAAAATGTTGACATTTTTACTCAGTAGGTATAACGAATTTGAAGTTCTCTGAAGGTTTATGCCAAAAGAGAAGTGTCAGAACTGTCTGTGCTGAGCTCTACTTCACCACAAGTTCCTGAAGGAAGGGGCAGTGTCTTCACTTCAGATGTGCCCTCACCAATGCCTCCCAGACACGTTGGCTCTTTCAGTTCCTCAAATCGGGCATGTTTATTTTCGCTCAGGGTCTTTGCTTTGGCTAGGCCATCTCTCTTCCAAAGTCTGATTCTTATCATTCAGATATCAGCTCAGATTTCATGGCCTTTGAGCCTTCCCTGATTTCCCAATCTAAAAAGGCTGTTTTTTATTATATAACTTATAACATAATAGGTATTTTAATTCTTTGCTTAGCACTACCAGTGTTGTTTTGTTTGTTTATTATTGTTTGTTTCTCCACTAGAAAGTAAGTTCCATAAGGGCAGAAACTTTTTCTTGTTCACCCCATATGCCCAATATCTAGGGTAGTGCCCTGCACTTAAATAGCTCTCAATAAATATCCTATATAATAAAGAGGTAATATGCAAATTAACCTTCACGCCCTCACAAGATGGCTGCCTATGACCAGGCTGGCAGGGGGGTTAGTGAGGGACAACCAAACGACTGAACAAGCAGGCTGTGTGGGCGACCAGGCCAGCAGGAGGGTTAGTGAGGGGTGACCAGGCCAGCAGGAGGGGCAGTTGAGGGTGACCAGGCTGGCATGGGGGCAGTTAGGGGTGATCAGGCCAGCATGCAGAGGCAGTGAGGGGCGATCAGGCCAGAAGGGGGAGCAGTTAGGGTCGACCAGGCAGGCAAGCAGGTGAGCAATTAGGAGCCAGCGGTCCAGGATTGTGAGAGGGATGTCCAACTGCCAGCAGTTGGATATCCCCCGAGGGGTCCCAGATTGGAGAGGGTGCAGGCTGGGCTGAGGGGACAGGCCTCTAGCATGTGTGTGTATATATATATATATATATATATATATATATCACCTATATAATAAAAGGGTAATATGCAAATAGACCGAATGGCAGAACTGAACAACCAATCAAAGTGTAATATGCTAATGATATGCTAAGGCTGTTCAACTGCTCACTATGACATGCACTGATAACCAGGGGGCAGACAGTCAACTGGTTGACCAGTCGCTATGATGTGCACTGACCACCAGGGGGCAGATGCTCCAACTGGTAGGTTAGCTTGCTTGGAATGACTTCAAGATCCATGATGAAGATAGTCAAGTCCAGTTCCTTGACCATCCCCACAGCAATGACTGTCCCCCTCTGTGACGCTACAACAATGCCACATAGTGAGGCTGTATCCTGGAACTTACTGCACAGAGCCCTGCCCTTGAAATCTTGAACTCTGAAAGTTTACTCTCTGCTTAACACCCCAATCTCCACACTCCTCCATTCCCATTAAACTTATGTTGAGGAGCATCAAGTTCTCTACTCTTCTCTGTCCTCTCAGTTTACCAGCTCTCCTTAATTTCTTCTATCTGGTGCAGATTTCACAATCAGTCACTTCAAATGTACTCTCACCACCATCCTCACTTCCTGGTGATGGCTGTATTTCCTTTGACCAATTCCAGTCCTAGGTTAGCCCATACTGGTTTCCTCCACTCACCCCCCAGGTCTGCTGAGACCTTCTAGAGCAGCTGTTCTCAATCTGTGGGTCATGACCCCTTTGGGGGTCGAATGACCATTTCACAGGGGTTGCCTAAGACCATCAGAAAACACATATATAATTACATACTGTTTTTGTGATTAATCACTTTGCTTTAATTATGTTCAATTTGTTCAATGAAAATACATCCTGCATATCAGATATTTACATTACGATTCATAACAGTAGCAAAATTACAGTTATGAAGTATCAACGAAAATAACTTTATGATTGGGGGTAACCACAACATGAGGAACTGTATTAAAGGGTCGCGGCATTAGGAAGGTTGAGAACCACTGTTCTAGAGGAAATCACATAGCCTTGCTGATTGATTCAGTGACACAATTGTGATTTCCAGCCCTGTTGAGTCCTTGGTGCCATCATTGTTCTTTCCAGTCTCCCACAGGGTTCCTTTCTAGAAGCCTCCTCCTGTTCCTTTCACTCTCAGCAGATAAACTGCCTACTTCATAATGAATGAAGAGGCATTTATTTAGATTTTGGGCTCCTTCAACTTCCTTCTTCCCCCCCTCCACATTCCCCAGGTCTGTACCTATTTGTAGGTATGTATTCCTGCCTCCTCACAATCAGAGCAGGATCTTCTTCTCCCCTGGAACCTTGCTGCATCGTTCACACCCCTCCCCTTGTATCTGTTCCTCCTTCACTAACCCCACACCCCATCCAACAAGTTTCCTGTCATCCTAAAACACCCTCATTCTTTATTCACCTTCCTCTCTAGCTACCTTTTATCCTCCCCTCACTGCTAGTTATATGCTCTCTGAGGTCTTCTCAGTTCATTGACATCTGACTCTTAACCCCACCACGCTACAGCATCTGTTCTCAAAGGTTATCAAAAACCTGTTAATTATTAAATGAAATGGGCTTCTTAGTTCTCAGCTGGACTGTTGACAGCATTTGACCTAACTGACCACCTGTCTTAAAATTCTCTCATCCCTGGATTCCCATATTTCCTCTACCCGCTGGTTACATGTCCTAGAATCATTTTTTTGTTGCTCAATTCACTTCACTTGTTTCTTTAGTGTTGCTATATCCCATACTCTGCACTGAATATTCACTTCTTTTCTCTCATTGTATGCTTTCTTTGGTATTGTAGAAATACTAAATTATTTGGAGTATGGTGCAGTGGGTTCAAATCCCATTTCACCAGTTATCAGTGCTATGACCTTGAGTAAGGTTTCCCATATGGAAAATGGGTATTAATATCAATTTTAATGGCTGTGTATGAAGAGTAAAGGAGACAGGCATGTATAACGTCTCTTTTAGTAGCTGACAAAAATTGCCACTTAATACATTGTTAATCTCTTCTTTCCCTTCCGTGCCGTCTCCTCACTCCCTTTCCTGCCAAATAACTTCTCATAGTTCACTTGTAAACCCAGGATTTGGAGTCAGCATTGGGTTCAGATTCTTGTTCTGACAGTTAGCAGCCTTGTGACTGGGGTTTTTGTTGTTCTGAACCTTAGTTTCCATGTGTGTAACATGAGAAAGATAGTTTCTCACAGGTTTAACGTGTGTGTGTGTGTGTGTGTGTGTGTGTGAGAGAGAGAGAGAGAGAGAGAGAGAGAGAGAGAGAGAGAGAGAGAACAAATAAACAAATGAAAAGATGTGGTGAAGTCCTTAGCACAGTTCTGGTGTGTAGTCAGTGCTCAGTAGATGGTAGTTATTATGTCTCACACCTATGGCTATACCTACCACACATACATACTCTCAAATATGTACCTCCCACCTCGCTCCCATCTCTTGTGCTCTAGACATGGATTTTGCCTTTTTTATGTTTTACAAAGAGCTCAGATTCTTATTAAAAACCAAACTATTTCTTTTTCCCAATACTTGCTCTTCACATATTCCCTTTCTCAGTTAATGTAGTGTCATCAGCCAGTCATTCAGGCATGACTTTTTGAAGCCTCTCTTTTTGTCACTGCCCACATCCTATCATTCCCCTCTGATTTGTTTCTGGAATTTGTGCTTTTCTAACTAGGCTGCTTCAATTCAGGCTCCCATCTTCTCTAACGGGAATTGTTGCCTCGTTTCCTCATTGGTTTCTGCAGATCTGGATGCTCCTCTTTCTACCCCATGTTCTCCTCTGTGTCCAGAGTGACTTTTCTAAGATGCGAGTCTCACAGTTTCACTCTCCTGTTTTAAAGCTCCAGGCTTTCCTGCTGAAGATCTTAAGCCCTAAGTCTAAGTGCTGGTAGGTCTTGTGTTGACCTATTTCTCCACCCTCATTGCCTGCCACTGATGGCTCTGCCCACACACTTTCTCTTGCTGCTTTTAAGATTCTCTCTTTGTCTTTTGCTCTTGGCATTTTAATTATGATGTGTCTTGGTGTGGTCCTCTTTGGATTCCTTTTGTTTAAGGTTCTCTGCACTTCCTGGACTTGTAAGTCTATTTCTCTCACCAGGTAGGGGAAATTTTCCGTCATTATTTCTTCAAATAGGTTTTCAATATCTTGCTCTCTCTCTTCTTCTGGCACCCCCATAATTCGGATGTTGGTACCTTGATGTTGTCCCAGAGGCTCCTTACACTATCTTCATATTTTTGGATTCTTTTTTCTTTTTGCTTTTCCGGTTGGGTGTTTTTTACTTCTTCGTATTTCAAATCTTTGACTTGATTCTTGCGATCCTCTAGTCTGCTGTTGGAACTCTGTATAATATTCTTTATTTCAGTCAGTGTATGCTTAATTTCTAGTTGGTCCTTTTTCATATCCTCGAGGTTCTCACTAGATTTCTTGAGGGTCTCACTAAATTTATGGCGGTTTCTAGAAAATTCTTGAAAAACCTTATAACTGTGGTTTTGAACTCTATATCCAGTAGTTTGCTTTCCTCCATTTCTGTCATTTGTGACCTGTTTCTTTGTCTCCGCATTTTGGCTGCTTCCCTGTGTTGATAGAGTGGCTTTCTGTGCTAGGTGTCCTATAGGGCCCAGTGGCCCAACCTCCCCAATTACCTGAGGTGGACACTCTTGGTGCACCCCTTTGTGGGCTTTGTGCACAGTCTTGTTGTAGTTAAGCCTTGATTGCTGTAGGTTTCACTGGGAGGAATTGACCTCCAGGCCAATTGGCTGTGAGAATCAGCTGTGTCTACAGTGGGAGAACTTCTGTGCTGGAGACACTCTTCTGGGGCAAGACTTGCTTCAGTGGGGCTTTGGTACTCACTGAGTCTGCTCCCTGAGTGTGTCCCTTATGGATCTGAGGAGTTGTAATCTGGATGGTCCCACTCTGACCACTGGGTACACTGGCTCTTGGATCTCTAAGGAGGTGCTAATTTAGCCTCTGCCTGAGGCTACCCAGCAGGAGCTATGGAGAGATCTGCCGATTCCTCTTCTTTGTTTGGGGTTTGGAGGTGCCCAGATGAGGCCCAGCTGTGAAGCAATGCAAGCTGCTGTGGGGCCTTGGGCCTTCTTTTGGAAGTTCTGGGTCTCTCTGACCCAGCTGCAGTTTGTTAGGTAATTTTCAGATTACAAAGGGCCAGGCCTTTCAGATGCAAAAGCCTCTGTGCACAGCTTGGGTGGGGAGGGGTCTCAGGGGATCTACAGGGCGGACCAAGCAGTTAGGACTGCTCCTCAGTTCTACCCTAAGAGGCCCCGTGTCTCAGTGTCCCATAGTAATCACTACAAGCACCGCTGAGAGAAAGCCGCCCTTGAGTTCCGCCTGCTGCCAGACAGTCCAGTTTCTCCCCGTATGAGTCTGGGTCCCCAGAGACTTGCCTGGAACTGGAGTTCAGAGCAGTCGGGAGCTTGAGACTCCCTCCTGATTGAAAAAGACAACCGTGTCCTCAGTTGCCAGCCCTTTCCACGTGCGCCTCCATACCTCTGCACTTTACTTCCGTACCTCCTCTGAGTCTCAGTGTGCTTTTCTCTTTCCTTCCAGTTGTAGAATTTCCACTCAGGCAGCCTTTCTGTGGTTCTGGATGATGTCCGTTTTGTCTTTTAGTTGTATTTTTGAAGTGGTTGTGCGAGGCAGCAATTTCCGGTGTTTACTTATGCTGCCATCTTGGTTTCTCCAGACATCTTCTGTCCTTGAATAGCATGATTCAACATCATAAAGATATCAGTTCTTCATAAATTAATTTTTAAAATTTGATATAATCTTAATAAAAATTCCAACAGTTTTTTAAGGAAGTAAACAAATTGATACTAAAGTTCATATGGAAAAATAAATATGCAAGAACATCAAGAAAACACTAACAAGAGAATTTTCAGTGGTGTAATTATCTCTACCAGACATTAAAATATACTATAAAGCCTCTATAATTAAAACATTGTGATATTGGTGCATGAATAGACAAATAGTGATTTAGACCAGAAAGCCCAGACATAGATCCAAGAACTTATGGAAATGTAGTTTATGAAAAATATGGTATGTGAAATCATTGGGTAAAGAGGGCTTTGCTTCCCCCCTTTCTTTCTTATATCCTATTTTTTTTTTATTTGGTAAACAACTCATAACACAAAATTTGCCATCTTAGCATTTTTAAGTGTACAGGTTAGTGTTAAATTTATTCACATCGTTGTGAAACAGATCTTCAGAACTTTTACATCTTGTAAAAATGGAAATTCTATACCCATTAAACAATAGCTACTCATTTCCCCCTGCCCCCAGCCCTTGGTACCCATCATTCTACTTTCTTTTTCTATGAATTTGACTACTTTAGATACCTCATATAACTCTTATCACACATTATTTGTCATTTTGTGACTGTCCTGTTGAATTTAGCATAATGTCCTCAAGTTTCATCCATGTTGTAACATGTAAGAGAATTTCCTTCCTTTTACTTTTGTTTTTTATTTTTATTTTTTTGAGAATTTCCTTCCTTTTAAAGGCTGAATAGTATTACATTGTATGTAAACATTTTGCTTATCCATTCATTCATTGATGGATACTTGGATTGCTTTCACCTTTAGGTTATTGTAAATAATGATACTATAAACACTTTGAATCTCTTTGAATCCCTGCTTTCAGGACCATTGCCATTTAAGACAATGATGTTTGCCTTGCTTATCCATGCTGAAGACATTAAGAATTCAAACTGTCAAGCATATGAAAGAAAAGACTATATGATGTTAAACCCTTTTAAAAGCAAAACCACAAACTTTTCCTTAGAGTTTTTCAATGTTCCCTCTTTAAAATAGATAATTTCTAGTGTTTACTTTTGCATAATTTTGATAAATTTGAAAAATTTTGAAGTACATGGACAATGTAATGCATGTAAGATATGAATATAAAGATTTCTAAAAGCTTAGAAACCCATTTGAATTTGAGAGATGTCAAGCATTCCATATCCTCTTATGCTCTTCTCTTGGCTATAGGGTGAAAAGAACCTCCACTGCTGAAAGCCTTTTTAAACTAAAAGATTCATTGGGCCATTGCTAGCAAGAAAGATCAGGTGCTGGGGCATGAAGTCTAAACAACCAGCACAGCTAGTGGGAAAGACAAGTATGCCCGCTGTCCTGGAGTTGAAGGGCTTTTTATACATCAGGTAGGGGGAAGAAAGATGTACATTGGAAAGACATTGGCTACAGACAAGGTGGGTTGGATACGGTGAAGGAGGCTCAGTTCTGGGATAGATGCAGAGTCTGTTTGCTCCTTTGGTCGGTTGTAGAAAGTTCCTGTGTAAGCAAGAAGCAGAGGCTCCTCCAGTGGGCGATGCCTGGTAGTCTCTTTCAGATAGTGATGGGAATAGCCACCTGGAGGTTAATTCAAAGTTCCCACTTACACTCAGGAATGAAAGCAGTCTTTTGTTGGTTGTGCCTTGAAGTTAACTGACTAACCCCTTCTCGTCTCTTCCTTCTACACTCTGGCCTGCTGTAATTCAACTTAGAACATCTCAGAATTGTCTCCTTGTCAACGGTAAAGATCAGAATTATTTTAGGAGGCACCAGCTTAGGGTTTTTCTTCAGCCTTCTGAAGTGTGAGGTTTTTGACAGAGGGTAGGGTCAGGAGAAGGTAAGTTGCTCTGTCCTGTTGTTCTCCAGGATGTACTCAAGCTATCATCCTTTAATTTCAGGTTCTCTGGCTAATTGGGCTGTGCTGGGAACCCATTCCATTTCGTTATCTCTGTATTTGAAATCTCTCATTCTGACCCCATGTTTTTCTTATTAACATTTGTTTTTCTATTTTTGCTCCTATTTGAAGGTACAATCACTGGTTTGATGGGATGGCGTTGCTTCACCAGTTTAGGATGGAGAAGGGCACCGTCACATATAGGAGCAAGTTTCTACAGAGTGATACATACAAGGCCAACAGTGCGCAGAATCGAATTGTGATCTCAGAATTTGGCACACTGGCTCTCCCTGATCCATGCAGGAATGTTTTTGAACGTTTCATGTCCAAGTTTGAGCTACCTGGTAAGCAGCTATTACTTGGCCCAGAATTTGCAGGTGATAATGGTGATTATTTAGATTGTTATGCGATATGACATTCTATATAGAGTTTGAAATAGATTTTTCAGTGTGAGAGGTTGTTTACACTGCTTTCTCCCTCCTCTTGTGGTGCTTCAATAACTCTGGGGTTTGGTTTCAGCAGTAACTGACAACACCAGTGTCAACTATGTGCGGTACAAGGGTGATTACTACCTGAGCACTGAGACCAACTTTATGAATAAAGTGGACATTGAAACCCTGGAAAAAACAGAAAAGGTAAAATGTAGGTTAAAAAATGAATAAAATGGACCCCCAAATTTCTTTTCATTCAAAATACTTTTCAGCATAGTAGATATCTGAATAAGAAATTGGAACCGTAGCCAAACATAACCAAATTACCCACTGTACACTCTCTGTCCTGATTAGAATGACCTTGGGTTGGTTTTCCATACTTTTAGACTTCTTTCTTAGTTTCTGCAGACTAGGGTAAGGGAGAAACAGAATAACATTTACGCCCTAGCTGGTTTGGTTCAGTGGATAAAGTGTTGGCCTGCGGACTGAAGGGTCCCGGGTTCGATTCCAGTCAAGGATGCTTGGGTTGCAGGCTTGATCCCCAGTAGAGGGCATGCAGGAGGCAGCCTGTCAGTGATTATCTCTCATCATTGCTGTCTCTCTCTCTCTCTCTCTCTCTCTCTCTCTCTCTCTCTCTCCCTTCCTCTCTGAAATAAAAAAATAAAAAAATATAAAGAGAAACAAAACAAAACAAAAACATTTACTGTGGCCAGCTCATGTTCTTCCTAGCTACAGGTAGAATTGGACTGGAGATTGTCTAGACCCATACTACTTTCACTTAACACATTAATTAAAAGTTAAATAAAAAATTGGACCAGATTTTTAATTTAATTTAATTTTTTAAATAAGAGAAAGCTTATTTAGAAAGTTACAGAGGTAGTAGAAGTGAGCCAATTGGGCAGCGTAGGCTCAGGAAACAAGTTACAGAGGCAGAAGAAGGGTCCTTGGAGCTTAGGAGAGAGAGAGGCAAAGGTAACTGCGCCTGGGGGAAGACAAGGGGGAAGGGAAAGGGGTAGATGTGTGTGTGTGTGTGTGTGTGAGAGAGAGAGAGAGAGAGAGAGAGAGAGAGAGAGAGGCCAGAATTTTAATTTTAATTCTTACTCTTTGAGCTTTCCTGTGATCTTGGGGGGAAATTTACCCTTATTGGGTAATACTTTTTGTACATTTTTTATTCGTTAGTGGTGGGGGTTTTTTCTTTATTTTGGGGGTGTTTTCATTTATTTTTCTTTAGAAGGGAAAATGATTCTTTTAAAAATATATTTTATTGACTTTTTACAGAGAGGAAGGAAGAGGGATAGAGAATTAGAAACATCAATGAGAGAGAAACATGGATCAGCTGCCTCCTGCACACCTCCTACTGGGGATGTGCCCGCAACCAAGGTACATGCCCTTGACCGGAATCGAACCTGGGGACCCTTGAGTCCGCAGGCCGACGCTCTATCCACTGAGCCAAACCAGTTAGGGCAGGGAAAATGATTTTGATTTCTCAGGAGGTGAGATATTAGGGCTTAGGGCTGTAGTTTTCATATCTTATTTTAAAGGTGTTTGACACATCTCTACTGTTTACGCATCTAAATAGAGATCTGCCCATGTAACATTTAAAAGTTTCTTTTTTAAAAAAATATATTTTATTGATTTTTTACAGAGAGGAAGGGAGAGAGATAGAGAGTTAGAAACATCGATGAGAGAGAAACATCGATCAGCTGCCTCCTGCACATCTCCCACTGGGGATGTGCCCGCAACCCAGGTACACGCCCTTAACCGGAATCGAACCTGGGACCTTTCAGTCCGCAAGCTGATGCTCTATCCACTGAGCCAAACCGGTTTCGGCTGAAAGTTTCTGATGGTCTTCAATTTGCAGGTAGACTGGAGCAAATTCATTGCTGTGAATGGAGCAACTGCACATCCTCATTATGACCCAGACGGAACTGCATACAACATGGGGAACTCCTATGGGCCACATGGTAAAGTGGGATGGAAGTCTTTTTAAAAATAATTCAAAGTTAATATCTTCCTGGGGTTCCATTGTGGTTAAGATGTAAACCTATGAAACTTCATTTGAAAAGTTCAGAAAAAATCTCCGAAATGGCATTACTGAACTTAAAGTACATAATTTATCATTGAGTACGTACTTTGCGGTCCGTTTGCACATATGCTTAGCAGCTGATTTTCTATTTGACTTTCTCAGCATCACTCACATTTTTATATTCCATTGTGCTTTTTGGCTCACAAGCATTGTAGGGATTTTCTGTATGTATTTCTCAAACTTGAATTTTGATAAAGTACCATATTGTAAGTATAAGCAATTTAGAATTCTGCAGCAAAGATGTAGACAAGATACATTGTCTATCACATAGGAAGGAATTTATTTTTATAATGGGATTAATACAGTACAAAGTAAGTTAAAGTTATAGTGCAGTTGCATTTACAACCACATACATCACACCTCTTTCCTGGTCACCCACTTCCCCAACTGCCTACCTATCTGCTCCAGAAAGTTCTCATAGCTAATAATGATAGCTAACATTTACTGAATGCTTAGTATGTGCTGGCGTTAAACATTTTTCTAGGTATTTTCTCATTTAATCCTTTAACACTTATCTGAGAAAGGTGTTATTATTTCTTTTTTAAATATGTTTTATTGACTTTTTAGAGAGAGAGGAATGGAGAGGGATAGAGAGATAAAAACATCAATGAGAGAGGAATATCATCGATTGGCTGCCTCCTGCACAGCCCCCACTGGGGATCGTGACCGGATTCGAACCTGGGTCCCTTCAATCCACAGGCTGATGCTCTATCCACTGAGCAAAACCAGCTAGGGCTTATTACTTCTTTTTATAGATAGTGGGCCTTGACAAGGTTTAAGATACTTGCTTAGGCAAGCTTCTAAGTGTCTAAAACCAGACTTGGCACCAAGTCTGAAACACACACACTCTGTAGACCACCTTAATAATTATTCACCTCTGAGTACAGAAGGGACTCAGGACATGCAAATTCATGTTCCTATATCTGAGCACACATGTCTGTGTTTGAAAGAAACGTGTATTAGATATTTCTGACTAGCTTATCTGTCAATCAGTCTTCTATAACCTATGAAACTTTTGTATAGGTTAATGTGTAACTTTGGTAAACAATTGGCATTGTGAGTTGTTCATCTGTTCCTCTCCATATTTACACATGGGTGTATGTGAAAATGAATACTGCGGGGTTGTTTTTTACTGGCTCAAGTAGAGATGGGGTACCCAGCTCTCTCTCTTCTTTATTATCTGACCTCAGGTAGGAATGTATTCTTCACAGCTGTAATAGGAAGCAGCAAACATCCCTTTTAAGTACTGTTTAACCATTCTGAATTATATATTCTAAAACAGTCGTTAGATCAGTCATTCTCAGCCTGTAGTGTGTCTAAGAATCATCTGGAATGCTTCTTAGCAATGTAGGTTACTGAGCTTCATCTTCTGAGATAGTGGTTCAGTAGACCCAAAAAGGGGCCAAGAATTTAACAGCTCCTCATCTCTTGGTGCATTTTAACAAGGTCCCTGATGATTTTGGCTCAAGCAGCCCTTAGATCTTTGAGAAACCCTTCTGGCACTTACCAGACGCTGTGCTTGTTACTTTGCCTCAGTTTGCTGTTTAAAGAGTCCTGAAGAGTTCCCAGGTTAGATGAACTGTATTGGGCAAGTCATTCCTCTGCTGGGTGTTTCCTGGGTGTCTCTGCCTCGCGTATGCATGCCATCATGACTTGCAGATAGAACAGTTCATGACTAGTTGTGTTTAAATGTAGTGGATTGAGTAATCATTAATTATCCGAATGCCGAGACAGGAAATTGTTTTATCTTCCAATCTCAACTGAAACTAAATTTACTTTTTTTTTCTTAATTATTTGATTCAGTGAGAAGTTTAAGAACTGGCACTCAATTATACATATGATTGCAGGGAGTTCAACAACCTAAGACAGGGGTGGGCAACCTTTTTGTGAGTGCGTGCCAAAACCAGCAAAATCTCTGACTCAAAATTCTTTTGCCTGCCAACCCTAATTTTTTGAGAACATGTTATGCCTACTTGATATATCTTAAGGTGTATGTATGTGAAGAACCTTGAAGAAATAATAAAATTCATTCGAGCGACAAAAACACAGTATATGATGATGAAAAATACATTTATTTTTTAATGTATACATGTACACTGATAGTCCGACAGAAAACAATGACTCTGATATTGTCAGTGGGACTTTTGCTGCTGCATCACTGATGACAGAGATTTTATATCAGGTTTATATTTCGTGACCTTCAGAGATATGCACGAGCTACTACTTTCATCCGTCGGGCTACTCCTATTACGAGACTTAACAAAATTCATCACTGAGAACAAAGATTCACAAGCGTATGTGGATGAAAACATGGAGAGTAACGCTGTTGCAAAGTTTTTTAAACAGAAAAAATTTTCTGGAATGGCATTCCAAGTCCTCAATAGTTCGTTTTCGATACTTCTCTCTGGTACTCCTGTCTCTAATCGCTTTTTGTCAATGTTTTCCAAGTCAACTCTAAGGTCAATAAATTTCTGCTTCCAAATTGAGCTACTCTGAAATTCAATCAACTGCATTTCAAAGTCAGCCATGTCTATCCATGAAAACATTTGTAAGTTTAGTTCCTCCAGTTTCATGCTGTCTGGAAACCTCATGAATTTTGCTGTCTCTTCCAGTTCTCTGAATTTCACAAATCTTGAGAAGAACTGCTCAATAGTTGACTCGATGATGTTTAAAAACAGCTTTTGAAGGTTTTGACAATCTGTTCTGTCATCTTTTGGGAGGTCTTTGATGTGCCTCTTGAGGTTTGGGAAATATCTAAATCTCTCACCATCCACATCCTTCTTAAAGACTTCCAGTTTCTTTTCAAAAGCCTTTATGTAACCAAACATAACATCAAGTGTCTTGCCAGTTCCTTGTAATTTAACATTTAAGTCATCCAAATGTTCACAAAAATTGTAAATGGAAGATTATAATAGAGGGTTTCGAGTGCCAGCAAAAGTTACTGGCGTGCCATGTTTGGCATGTGTGCCAGGGGTTGCCCACCCCTGACCTAGGATGTTTTTTTGGGAAATTTAGAGATTCTTGTTATATTATAGTGCTTGCTTTGTGATTTCTAACTCTAGTAAGTAACAGGCTTTTAACTGTTTTAGCCTTTACAGATATTTCAAAAGATGTTTTAAAATTAACAAAAGTTTTCTAAAACATTAATCAATCCAACTAATTCTTAATAATATTGTAAAATTACATAACACTAGAGGCCCAGTGCACAAATTTGTGCACAGGTGGGGTCTGGCCGGCCCACCCCAATCAGGCCGATAGGGCTGGGGTTGGCCGGCTGGCCCTGACCCCTGGTTGAACTCCTGGTCAAACCTGGTCGAACTCCGGTCTAGGGGTCAATTTGCATATTAGCCTTTTATTATATAGGATGATGATGATGATGATGATTATTATTTGTGTGAAAACAAAATTACATATTTATTTTTGAGAGAAGGGTTTATGTAGGATAATTTATGCATCTGAATATAAACCTGTTATTTCTACAAAATAATTTAGAATTATGATAAGGTTTATTATTTGAATAGGTTTTGGCCAATAGTCAATAAAAGAGTGCTCTGTGGTTGTGAAGGGCCACAAAAACAAAGAAATAAAGACAACAACACAGAATAAAGAATAAAGTCAATGGAACTCTTGCAAAACATTAAGCAAATTTTAGTGTTCAAGTAAAAAACTCTCCCTTTTTAAAAGTATCTATGATAACTGGGTAACTAATCAGGGTGCCTGGGATTAGACCTAATACTTTGGTGAATCTAGGACAGAGACAAAGAGAGGATATGGTGTATAATTTTTGTTATTTTGAACAAAAGAGAAAAAAGTGAACCTCTTTACTTGTGAAATTGTTCACTTTGTGTGTGAGGAACTATAATCAATCAGAGCCTTTGTCCAAGTAAAAGATTATAGAGAATTATTATCAGATGCTGAATTTTTCCTTCCAGAGGAATAACAACCCTATATAGACCTTGAAAATTTCAAGAGCAGTCTTCCAAAACCCCTATAAAATATTAAACTAATATACTTGCAATTTTAGTACAAATAAGGAAATGCAGAAATTGCAGTACTCATAATTATTATTAGCGAAGTTCACAGGGCACACATGTAGGACTTTTTATTCCAAAGCAGCCCAGTGTGAGGAGTTAATATTTCTTTGGGGACTGAATATTTGTACTTTTCATTTTTTCTGAACTAAGATTAGAAAACAAAAATAAGAGTTTGCATACTTCACTTAAAGTATAATTTCTTAGAATTGCCAAGATGTTTGGCTGACTTCTGATTTTGTATCAATATTTAAGGGAAAGTATTAAATGGGATATCTTCTTGAGGCAAATTCAAAGACCGTGTCATGTACTAGGGCTTTTAACTTTTTTATATACTTATAATGCAGCAATTTTGTGACTAGTTTCCATAGCATGTTTCCATCAGTTAAAGAGAGAAAAATATTTAATTTCTAAGGGCAAATCTCCAGTTTTTCACTTTTTTAAAAAAATTTTGTTTTATTGCTTAAAGTATTACAAAGAGTATTACATATGTCTCCTTAGGATTATTATATGTGATTACTTAGTACTCTTGGAACTATGGAGCTTATCTTAATCCTTTTATAACTCATCACTATAAAATCATGATGTTTTATATACAATGAGCTCTCAAAACACATCTATATCCCCAACCTAGACCTCCCCAGTATTTTATATCTAACTAGAGGCCCAGGGCACAAATTTGTGCACAGGTGGGGTCCCAAAGGGGCGGGGGAGGCTGGGATACGATTGGTCCTCAGGGTGGGCTGTGGGATGCCCTTGCTGGCCTGGGATCTGGATCCGTCCTGCTGACATTCGCGCTGGTTGTTGGGAGCTACCTGGCAGCCGCTTTTATATTATTTCTTCCTTGTGGAGTGTCTAGGGAGGGGAAGCAGTCATGGTGCCCGAGGCCAACTTCCAGGAGGCCGGCAGCACTGTCAGGATTGTGCTGGCAGCACTGGTCCATTGGTACTTGGCCTGTTCTCTGGAGATTGGACCTGTTAGGACTGAGGGAGGGAGTGGCTGCCGCTGGGCTGGTGGGCCTCCAGGACAGGTCAGACAGCTGAGTGGTGCTCCCGCTGTGGGAGCGCACTGACCACCAGGGGGTAGCTTCTGCATTGAGCATCATAGTGACCAGTCATTCCGGTCATTCGGTTGTTTGGTCACTTAGGCTTTTATATATATGTAGATTGCTTACTCACTGTTTTTACTAGATGTCTACTAGGCATTACAAAATTAACTTGTCTAAACCCAAACTCCTGATTTTTTCCCCTAAACTTTCTCTGCTTAAAATATTTCCCACCACCCTGGTTGGTATGGCTCAGTTGATTGAGTGTTGTCTCATGTACCAAAAGGTTGCTGGTTCCATTCCCCATTAAGGCATATACTATATACCTAGGTTGCAGGCTTGATGCCCGGTAGAGGGCATGCAAGAGGCAGCCAGGGGATTGATACTTAGCTCTTGCATGAATGTTTCTCTCTACCTTTCCCTTCTTCTCTCTCTCTCTCAAAAAAAAAAAAAATCAATAAAAAAAACTTCCCAACTCAGTTGATGGTAATTCCATCTTTCCAGTTGCTCAAGATGATAACTTTGGAATCATCCTTCACACCTGTGTCTCTCACATCAACATTCAATAGGTCAAAAATTATTTCAGCAATGCCTTCAAAATATATCCCAAACCTGCCCGGCCAGAATGGCTCAATGGTTGAGTGTCAGCCTATGAACCAGGAGGTCATGGCTTGATTCCCAGTCAGGGCCCATGCTTGGGTTGTGGGCTTGATCTCCAGTGTGGGGCGTGGAGGAGGCAGCCCATCAATGATTATCTCTCTCATCATTGATGTTTCCATTTCTGTCTCCTTCTTCCTTCCTCTCTGAAATCTATAAAAATATAAAAATATTTATATATCTAAAATCCAATCACCTCATATCACCTTCACTTGCACAACTCTTGTCCACTTGCTAATCTCTCTCATTTGAATTATTGTAATAGTTTCTTAACTAGTCTCCTTGCTTCTGCCCTTACCCTGTTTAAGTTTATTCTGAGCATATCAGACAGGTTTATTTACTTTTTAAAAAATTTATTTTTAATCCTCACTGTCGAATATGTTTTTATTGATTTTAGAGAGTGAGGAAGGAAGAGGGAGAGAGAGAGAGAAACACTGATCAGCAGCCCTCGTCCTTGAACCGACAGGGGATGGTACCCATCACCCTTTGGTGCCTGGGACAATGCTCCAACCAACTGAGCTACCTGGCCAGAGCCAGACAGTCATTTTTTTTTTTTTAACTCACTCCACCTCATCTAGACTATTCTTGCTCACGATGACAGGCCACACTGGCCTCCTTGCTGTTATGTACTTGAACACTGTAAACTAACTCCTGGCTGAGATTCTTTGCATTTGTTCTTCTCTCCTCTTGGAAGGCATTTCTCCAAGATATCACCAAACTCTCTTCCTCACCTCCTTCATAATTTTATTCAAATGTCATTTTCTTATGAAGCCTTCCCAGACCACCATATTTAAAATTGTAAATAATAGCACCCATCCTTGTACACTTACTCCGGATCCCCATTTTCTGGTTTATTTTCCATTACAGCTCTTATCATCATCTGAAGCATTATATTTTTACTTATTGTATGATTTATTAGAATTTGAGCTTTATAAAAGAAGAGTCTTTTGTCAATTTTGTACACTGGTATATACAAGTGTCTAGAATAGGGTATTTATGACACAAAGAAGAGTGCCTGCAATATAATTGGCACTCAACAAGTACTTGTTGAATAAACTAATAGAGAACTGTATGGTTATCTTGTTCCAAAAAAAGTTTAGTGGTTGCAAAATACTATAAGTTACCCAAGTTCTTTAGGACCTACATTGGCAATTCTAATATTACCAGGAAAATCATTTAATATGACCTCAATATTTGTTCATTCATTGAATGATTTAACAAACATGTTGTTAGTCAATCCACTAATAGCTATTTATAGTGTACTCACTAAATGTATGTCTTTGTTTGGTACTGAGGATGCAAAGGTGGAGCAGATAAATCTGCTCTTGAAAAGCTCTAGTTGTTTATCTGCTTCTCCCAATAGAAGCAGATAAGCAAGTAGATAATTATAATACAATGAGATAAGTGCTATGACTATATAAGAGATAATGAGGGCATAGAGGAGGGGCACCAAATGACTTGGGGTGGGGAAGACTCAGGGAAGGCTTCTTGAGTGGATGGGTACCTGAGTTGATTCTTGAAGTAGTAGTAATAGTCAGATGAATGATTGCATGAATGAATGTTGATGAGACGGGATGAGATGGGGCCTAAAGCAACCCCAAGGACCCAGAGAACTGGAGGGAAGGATTTGGACATGGATGCAACTATAGATTGTAGTTGCTGGGTTTGGGTAGTGGGGAGAGCGACGAATAGAATTTGAGGGTATTCCTGGCTGCTAAGCTTATTTTTTTCCTATGAAGTAGAAATTGAGTTCATTTTCAGGGTGTGAGAGGATAACTATTTGAGAATATTACAATATAATAAACTTGGTGGATTACTTTGGGTGTGGTGTTTGAAAATCTTAGCTAATGACTTTCATAAAGTTCATACGTTTTTGATATCTAAGTCTGTTTGAAATATGGGTGTCATGCACATTGCATAAATCTCTTAACTGCTTTTGCCTAGTCCATAAGTGCAAGGGTTATCTTTTATTCTTAGGATATATGTAAAATTGTTAAGACAGAATTTTCCATTTTCCAGGTTCTTGCTATAATATTATTCGGATTCCTCCAGAAAAGGGGGATCTTGGGGATACAATCCATGGAGCCCAAGTGATATGTTCGATTGCTTCTGCACAGAGTTTTAAACCTTCTTATTACCATAGTTTCGGTGAGTCCAGAGATGAAGCAAATTGCAATGGGGCCTGCTTTAGTGTCACAGTACCTGAGGCAAATACTATGTTAATACAGTTTATCAGAGTATAGTAACATTTTGGATCAAGGTTGCATTTTAATGCCACTTAAATTTATTCTGGTTAGTAATATACTTCTTTCCCTAACCAATTGACTGCTTGAAAGGATAGTTATTTTAGTACAAGCAAAAAATTAATTGACAACATCAAGAGTGAACCATAATATAAACAATGAACTTTGGGTGATTATGATGAGTCAATGTAGGTTCATTTATAATAATAAAAACATAATATGCTAATTAGACCAGTCATCCTTCTGGATGAAGCCAGGGCTTCGAGGGAAGCCCAAGTCCTGGGTGCCAGAGGGAAGCCAGTGCTGGCAGCCAGGGGATGGAAGGCCTACTCTTGCACGAATTTCGTGCATCGGGTCTCTAGTCAATTATAAGAAATGTACTACTCTGGTGGGGGATGTCGATAATGCAGAGGCTATTCATGTGTGGGGGACAAGAGGTATATGGGAAGTCTCTGTACTTTTCCCTAAGTTTTATTCCGAACCTAAAACTGTTCTAAAAAGTTGAAGTCTTAATTTAAAAAAACATTTGACCATAAAAAATTAATTGACAGGATTCAAAATTTTAGATAACTTTAAAGTCCACAAATAAAGATCTTGACTATATTTTTGGGGGAAATTCATATTCTATATAGATTGCTTTAGCTTTTTCTCAGATTTATCTTCTGTATTCTAAACCTTTATAGACAATCTGCTCCTGGGTCCTTACCCCTGGTATAAATAGCAAAAGGATTATGGAATAAAGGTTCAGATCATAAATCACACTTTCATATTATGCTTCTTTACTTGTTCTTAAACCACAACAATTTTTAAAAAAAGAAAAAAAGTGAGTATAGTGCACTCAACCAAACTATTCTAAGCACTTCCCTTTTTAAAGTAGGAACAGGAAATCTGTGTGACAAAGCTGGGAAACAGGGAGAATTACTTTTGGCCCGCCTTTGTCTGGGTCAGCAGTCATGTGTGCCAGCATTCAGACATGTTCCCTTAACTGTCACGTGGCAGACAACTCTAGTTTACCAAATAACACTTTAATGTTTGCTGGAACCTTTTAGGAATGACGAAGAACTACATAATCTTCATTGAACAACCTCTAAAAATGAATCTGTGGAAAATAGTCACTTCTAAAATTCGGGGAAAGGCCTTCTCAGATGGAATAAGCTGGGAGCCCCAGTATAACACACGGTTTCATGTGGTGAATAAGCACACTGGACAGGTGGAGTATTTTGAATATTTTTATCATGAAAATGATTGGAAACAAAGGCACATTTCCACTTGCTTGATTTTTACTTTCACTGGGCATTACTTGCATGACTCTTAATCAAGGATAGTACCTTCTTTCATAGGTAGGACTAGCTACTTATTAATTAACACAGTGGATTTAGCACAGTGGTTCCCAAACTTATTTGGCCTACCGCCCCCTTTCCAGAAAAAATATTACTCAGCCCCTGGAAATTAATTTTTTTAAAATTTTAATAGCAGTTACTCATCGCCCCCAAATGCACCTGTGGCCATCACCACCCCCTGGATCACTGCAGCGCCCACCGGGGATCGGTAGCGCCCACTTTGAGAATCACTGATTTAGCATATTAGAACATTGTAGGAAATGGCTTTATCCTTTAAATTATCTGATTTAATTAAAATGGCATCTAGAAACCCTCTTAGCATGGACTTTTCCATATCATATTTGCAAAAGAGGATATTGTTCATGCAAAGTCCCTCTGTAACTTTTGCAATGATACTTTAATTAGTTGCTTTTACAACTTCTTGGTACACAAATATGATAGTCCTACTAAAGTCTAATATCTTTCTATTAATAGCACTATTATATCTGTTTATTTTTCCCCTCTCTAAAGAGATAGTATCCTAAATTTACTGTACTTTCATTTTATTACTAAAATTCCATGTTAATAATGAATGCATTTTTCAAAGAATTAACCACTTAAATTGATCATGTTACTTAATAGCAGTGTTTTTTTTAATTTCCATGTCTTAAAAAAAATTCTTTATTGTTTAAAGTATTACATATAGTATTACATATGTCTCCTTTTTTCCCCATTGACCTCAACCTGGCCACCCTCACACCCCCACACATGTCCTCACCTAGCAGTGATTTAAAAAAAATTTTTTTATTAATTTTTTACAGAGAGGAAGGGAGAGGGATAGAGAGTTGGAAACATCGATGAGAGAGAAACATCCATCAGTTGCCTCCTGCACACCCCCTACTGGGGATGTGCTTGCAACCAAGGTACATGCCCTTGACCGGAATCAAACCTGGGACTCTTCAGTCCGCAGGCCGACGCTCTATCCACTGAGCCAAGCTGTTTAGGGCAGCAGTGTTTTGTTTTGTTTTTATAAAATGTTTTTATTGATTTTTAGAGAGAGAGGAAGGGAGAGGAAGAGAGAGAGAAACATTGATGTGAGAGCAGAACGTCAATTGACTGCCTCCTGCCCGCTCCCTACCTGGGATCGAGCCTGCAACTTAGGCAGGTGTCCTGACTGGGAATCAAACTGGCAACCTTTTGGTGCATGGGACGATGCCCAGACAACTGAGCCACACCAGCCAGGGCAGCAGTGTTTTCTATTTAACCATGTAGAGTTCAGGATCTAAACACTGGAGTTAGTTGTAACAGTCAATTGATCTGTATTAAACAGCCCCAGTTTGTGGATTAATATGAGGTGAGATGGCTTAAGCAAGCAATGGTTAAATCTAGCATATTTGCTTCTACATTGCAAATTTTACCTTTTGCACCTATATGGCCTGTCACATAACAGGGAGAAATATTAATTCGAGCTTGGTGCATCTGTTCGCTAAAGAAAGAAGAAAAGAAAAGAAAGAAAAGAAGAGGAAAGAAAGGAAATGTCTCTTTCATTGTTTATATTTTCCCTGCAGCTTCTTCCAGGGATGTACTACAGTAAGCCTTTTGTTACTTTTCATCAAATCAATGCTTTTGAGGACCAGGACTGTGTTGTAATTGATTTGTGCTGTCAAGATAATGGAAGAAACCTAGAAGTTTACCAACTACAGAATCTTAGGAAAGCTGGGGAAGGGCTTGATCAGGTAAACATCTTTGATTTTCTGGTGTCATCAAAATAATTTTGAACTAGCCAAGTCCTGGTTTTGGCTATGTAACCTTAGAAATAGCTATTTCTCTTATCTCTTTGGCAAATATGGGAGGAGAATAGTTTAAAAGACACAGCTTTGTCGCTTATTCATTTAATACTTGTAAATAATTTGAAGTACTTACTTAATACCTAATAGAAAGCACGTAAAAAAAACCCCCAAGAGATGTTTTGAAGCTGTGATTATTTGCTGATTACACTTGACCACTAAATATATTTCAATTTACTGGAAGGGACAGCAAAATGGACCATAACTTTAATTCTCTGATAAAGTGTATCAGTTCATCTACCCGAAGATTTAACTTTTTTTTCTGATATTAAATCCAATTTAAGATTTTTCCTGGGGTATGTACTACAAACTATTTTTAGCTAGAGTTTTTTTTTAATTTTGTTTTATTGCTTAAAGTATTACAAAGAGTATTACATATGTCTCCTTCCCCCCCCCCCCCTTGACAATCCCCCGGCCTCCCCTACCCCCCAGTGTCTTATGTCCATTGGTTATGCTTATATGCATGCATACAAGCCCTTCGGTTCAACCCTTCCCCCCCCCCCAACCTCCCCAGCCTTCCCGCTGTAGTTTGACAGTCTGTTTGATGCTGCTCTGCCTCTGTATCTATTTTTGTTCATCAGTTTATAATGGTATTTATTATCCATAAATGAGTGAGATCATGTGGTATTTTTCTTTCATTGACTGGCTTATTTCTCTTAGCATAATGCTCTCCAGTTCCATCCATGCTGTTGCAAATGGTGAGTTCCTTCTTTTTTACAGCAGCATAGTATTCCATTGTGTAGATGTACCACAGTTTTCTAATCCATTCATCTGCTGATGGGCACTTAGGCTGTTTCCAGATCTTCGCTATGGTAAATTGTGCTGCTATGAACATAGGGATGCATATATCCTTTCTGATTGGTGTTTCTGGTTTCTTGGGGTATATTCCTAGAAGTGGGATCACTGGGTCAAATGGGAGTTCCATTTTTAACTTTTTGATGAAACTCCATACTGTCTTCCATAGTGGCTGCACCAGTCTGCATTCCCACCAGCAGTGCACGAGTATTCCCTTTTCTCCACATCCTCTCCAGCACTTGTCGTTTGTTGATTTGTTGATGATGGCCATTCTGACAGGTGTGAGATGGTACCTCATTGTTGTTTTGATTTGCATCTCTCGGATGATTAGTGACTTTGAGCATGTTTTCATATGTCTCTTGGCTTTCTGAATGTCCTCTTTTGAAAAGTGTCTATTTAGGTCCTTTGTCCATTTTTTGATTGGATTGTTTATCTTCCTTTTGTTAAGTTGTATGAGTTCCCTATAAATGTTGGAGATTAATAGCTAGAGTTTTATTTTGAAATCTTTTAAAAACATTGCTTTTAAAATTTACTTATACTTACTAATCTTATTTATGTTATTATAGCTGTTTGATAGGTCTTGAAAGCTGTAGTATAAGCCTGCTGACTTTTTTCTTTTTAAAAGGGTGCCTAAGTTTTTCTTGGCCTTTTGCATTTCCATAAATTCAATATATCAATCTTTTACTTTATGAATAAAACATTGTGTAACCTATTTCAGACATCTTCCTATGCTAAAGTCATAAAAATATTCTTTTATATTACTTTCCAGGAGAAGTTTTAATTCTAAAAATTAAGTATCCATATAGGTATTATTGCTCTAGACTCTATATTCAGTTCCACTGGTGTCTTGTGCCAGTACGACATTGTTCTAATTACTATCCCTGTATTAAAAAAATCTTGATGTTTAGTAGATCAAGTCCTTCTAATTTTTTTCTGTAGTGAGTGTTATGGTCATTCCTGGCCCTTTACAATTTTGTGTAAATTTTAGAGTCAACTTCACACACACACACACACACACACACACACACACACCCACACACACCCCACAAAAACAAAAAACTTGTCAGATTTTAATGTATTTGTTAGTTTTCTTTTTCTTGCTTATTTACTGGACTTCTAGTACAGTGTTGAATGTAAGTGGCATCTTTATCTACTTCCCAGTTTGAGAGGAAAACATTTCAACATTTTACCATTAAGAATGCTGTTTGCTGTAGATTAAAAAACACCTAATAGCTCGGCTGGTTTGGCTCAGTGGCTGAGCATCAACCCATGAACCAGGAGGTCACTGGTTCGATTCCAGGTCAGGGCACATGCCTGGGTTTGGACTTGATCATCAGTCAGGGGCATGCAAGAGGAAGCCAATCAATGATGTTTCTCTATCACCAATGTTTCTCTCTCTCTCTCTCTCTCTCTCTCTCTCTCTCTCTCTCTCTCTCAATAAAAACACATTAAAAACACCCCAACACTAACAGACTTTGCTTTCTAGAGAAGTTTTAGGTTTAAAGGAAAATAAGAAAGAAAATACAGCGAGTTTTCCATATAATCCCTTCCTTTTATCTCGCCAATTTCTCCTGTTATTAACATCTGCCTGGTGTGGTTCGTTGGTTATAACCGATGAACTAATATTGATACTCTATTACTAAAGTCCATAGTTTACATTAGAGTCACTCTGTCTGCTGTGCATTCTATAGGTTTTAACAAATGCATATTGTCATGTATCCACCTTTATAGTATAATTTCAGCACCCTAAAACGACCGTATTCCACCTATTCTTTTTTTAAATTTTAAATTCTTTATTGTTTAAAGTATTACATATAGTATTACAATGTCTCCTTTTTCCCCCATTGAGCTCTCCCCAGCCACCCCTACCCCCCAGCACATGCCCTCACCCCCCTAGTGTCTGTGTCCATTGGTTATGCTTATATGCATGCATACAAGTCCTTTGGTTGGTCTCTTATCCCCCCACCCCCAAACCTATTCTTTTTTAAAAAATTATTATCGACAGTATTGCAGATATCCCCCATTTCCCCTCCTCCCTTTGCCCACCTCCACCCAGCCTTCCCTTTTTCCAGGTATTTAAAAATAATTTTTATTTTTATTCTACCTATTCTTACCTCCTCAGTTCCCTCACCCTTGGCAACTACTAATCTTTTTACTGTCTCTATAGTTTTTCCTTTTCCAGAATGTCATATAGTTGGAGTATACAGTATGTAGCCTTTTCAGACTGGCTTCTTTCACCTAACAATATGCCTTTAAGGTTTCTCCATGTCTTTTAGTGGCTTCATAGCTAATTTCTTTTCATTGCTAAATAATATTCTAGTGTATGAATGTACCACACCTTGCCCATTTACCTGTGGAAAAAATATCTTGGTTGATTTCCATTTTTGGCACTTATGAATAAAATTGCTATAAACATTTATCTGCAGGTTTCAACTGTGTCTATTCTGCTCTTAAACCTAGCCACCAAGTTCTTCAACTCATTGCATTTTTCAGTTCTAGAATTTTGATTTTGTTTTCTTTTATAATTTCTAGTTCTGTGCTATAATGCTTGATGTAAAAGATTTTCCTTAAACATATTTAGAATAAAGTCTGATAACTCTATTATCTGGATTCCCTGTGGCTTTGTTTCTATCATCTGTTGTTTACTCTTTTTTTCTATCATGCTCTCTTGCTTTCTCATAGGTTGGTTAATTTTTATCATATACAGAATATTGTGTTTAAAAATTGTAGAAATATTTTGAGATCCAGGATTTTGTTATCTTCCTTTAGAGATTTTCATTTGTTTCTGGCAGATGGCTAGGGTACATTATCAATTCCAGATATTCTTTTTGTTTTAATTTTATTTTTTGATTATACTTTACATTCAACACTTTTTTTGTATTAGTTTCAGGAGTACAACACAGTGGAAAGACATTCATATAGGTTACAAAGTGATCCCTCTGATAATTCAAGTGCCCACCTGGCACCATAGTTATTACAATACTAGAGGCCTGGTGCACAAAAATTTGTGCACTCGGGGGGGAGGGGGGGTTCCTCAGCCCAGCCTGTGCTCTCTCGCAGTCTGGGACCCCTCGGGAGATAACGACCTGTTGGCTTAGGCCTGCTCCCGGGTGGCAGAGGGCAGGCCCAATCCCTAGGTGCAGCCCCTGGTCGGGCTCAGAGCAGGGCTGATTGGGGAGTTGGAGCGCCGCCCCCTGTCATGCACAGAGCAGAGCGGATCGGGAGGTTGCGATGCCACCCTCAGTCATGCTCAGGATAGGGCCGATTGGGGGGTTGGGGCACCGCCCCCTGTCACACTCAAGGCAGGGTCGATGGGGAGGTTGCGGCGCTACCCCCTGTCACGCACAGAGCAGGGCCAATCAGGGGGTTAGGGCGCTGCCCCCTGTCACTCACAGAGCAGGGCCCATCAGGGGGGGTTGGGGCTCCGTACCCTGTCACGCACAGAGCAGGGGTCGATCAGGGGGTTGGGGAGCTCCCCCCTGTCACACACAGAGCAGGGCTGATCAGGGGGTTGAGGAGCTTCCCCCCTGTCACTCACAGAGTAGGGCCGATTAGGGGAGTTGGGGCACCGCCCCCTGTCACACACAGAGCAGGGCAGATCAGGGGGTTGGGGCGCTGCACCCTGTCACACTCAGGGCAGGGCCGATGGGGAGGGTTATGGCTCTACCCCATCACACACAGAGCAGGGCTGATCAGGGGGTTGGGGCGCCGCCACTGTCACACTCAGGGCAGGGCCGATGGGGAGGTTATGGCTCTACCCCGTCACACACAGAGCAGGGCTGATCAGGGGGTTGGGGCGCCGCACCCTGTCACACACAGAGCCGCAGGGCGATCAGGGGGTTGGGGAGCTCCCCCCATCAGGCACAGAGCAGGGCTGATCAGGGGGTTGGGGTGCCTTCCCCCGCCTCCTGTCAAACACAGAGCTGCAGGGCGATCAGGGGGTTTGGGCACTGACCCCTGTCACGCTGATCCCGGTGCTGGGAGGCCTCTCGGCTCCGCTGATCCCGGTGCTGGGAGGCATATTACCCTTTTACTATATAGGATAGAGGCCTGGTGCACAGGTGGGGGCCGGCTGGTTTGCCCTGAAGGGTGTC